AGGCGAAAGAGATGGAATTGCAAGCCTGACCGCGAATAGAAGAGCAGGAAAGGATCGATGAAGCCCGATCCAATTATCATAACGGAATGGTTTCACGCAGCACACGAGCCTGTTCTGCCTCTTGAAAAAAAAAATAATAATAAAAAAAAACTTATGGACTTGGAAAACGAGGGGCAAGCGAAAACGCTTTGACCTTTAGACGAGATCATGAAATTTGAGAGATTCACCGAAATCCGAGTCGAATTTCAGGAAAGGATTTCACGGATATCGGATATCGAGAGTTCCGGGAATTTCAATCGCCGGGAAAGCAAAGCACGACGAAAAAAAAAAAAAGAAGCGAAATCTCCCATCGGCCGAGTCGCCATTTCGAGGCGGGAGAAGGAGGAATTGCGAACGACCGAGCCAGACACACACGCGCGCGGCGAATCGGGATCGGACGATCGGGAACGGGCAGGCGCCGTCTCCCGATGAAGGGGCACGATGCGAGGTATCGTGTGGGGTAAGGTGTGTGGATCGGGTGAGGAATTCTCTTTCAGGGTCATCGGGAATGTTAAGTAAGGGATCGGTACTGGAAATTTACGAGCATGCTCGGTGGTACGGGCTTTACCGTGTGTACGTGACTTAAAACTTCGTATTGTCCCCCGTCTCTCGCCGAGCTCTGAGGCCTAGCGAGTTCTCGCAGCGATCGAGAGGTCAGAAGTGATTCGACTTTCTTGCCGATGAGTTTTTGATTTTCGTGACGGGCGCAAATCTCCAAATCTCTTCCATGATCTTGAATTTTTTCTAAATTAAATTCACGTCTTAAAGCGTGTGTGGCGTGGAGTGATATGGATCGGATATTCAGACAGGCCTTTCAAGTTTGTGATGAGAAACTAGACAATAGTTTGACATGCTCAGAAGCTTTCCTTGTTTTTGTTTTTGAAGAGAAAAATTCGCTTTTCTGGTGCGAATTTGACCCGGCGCACTCCACGAGTCATCATTATTCCGTCTTCTGAAATGGTATCCAGTTTCACCTTTGCACTTTCAGCCTTACAACTTAAACCTAAGAGGGAACCATTATGGAGTAAGTACTCCATTCCACTAGAGATTTCTTAGTCTTCTGCCAAACTGCGCCGCTCAGGGGCAGCCCTTCAAAAGCGTTAATCTTCGACTGATGCCTGTCGTTGATGGGGAGAGATATAAGAGGCTCCCCTCCCCACCTTACTCCAGGATGTCAGGCACTCATATGCCCCCTACCAACACGATCCAAACCTTGAACTATGCAGGGAGCAACCGTGTTTCCAAACATGGCGGCTTCCTGTCTCGCTATCTCGCTATCTCGCTGTGCCCTTCGTGACGCTATCGCGGAAGGCTTCTATTGACCATCGGGAGTGGTCCTCTTGCATACAGTATGGTTTCCCCCACCAAGAATAGTCATTGTGCTAATGGCTCTTTCGTCACGCCGTCGTCCACCCAGCTTGCCATTATTGACGCTAGCATACAGCGTAGGCCTAACCTTGTGGCCTACCTTCCCGTTGGCCGACGGCCAACGAAGTGATTCTGAATTCATTGTAGACCTACGCCATCTGAGCTGTCTGTGGATCCGACGAAATTCCTACATCCGTTCAACTAGGCTCAGTAGTAAGGGATCAGAAAGAGAAAATGAGGTATCTTTATTCTTTTTAACAGAGTTTTAGTTACAATAAGTGGTGTAGCCAGGAGGAAATAACGGACCTGGACCCTTCCCGCCCCAAAATGCTAGTTCATCTGTTCAATATATATCCTTCTTGCAGTTTTGTGCCATATTAAGGGCTTTACTTCATTCTGCACCCAGAGTGCACAGCACATGCACAGTCTATTCTCATTCTAATTTTTGTTGTGTGCACAGTAACTCCCAACAAGTCCCACAGTTATTCCGTGGTGGATATTCCAAAAGGAGGTTATTCATGTGTTCAATTAACGTAATAAAAGAATGTACATCACTTATTGTTTCAACAAGAAGCGTAAGTTCATCTCCACATGTTCACCATCTAATACTCTGCATTTTTACCACTAGGTGGTGGTTGCCTTAAATGTTGTGTACAATATTGCCAGTGTTATGGATTCAATTGCAGCATAAGTTCAAGTTGTAAGATCCTGCAAGTTGCATAACTTGCTTCTGTAAACCTGTAACTTGATAGATCCCCACAAAAAAGTCCATTGGTGTTGGCTTCAGTGACTGGCACCTTTGGTTTATCCAAACCTCGGCTCATCCATCACTTAGGAAGAACTATTCTGTTGAGTAAACCTGAAATTTAACCCTTCAAGTGCTATGTTTTGACTTCACCTCCTAAGCAATGAACATACATGAAAACGGCTGGAAGGGTTAAAGGAAATTTATGACTTTTCATTAAAATAGAGAGAGACTTTATGGACACCTTGTATATATGAATCACCTTAAATGGAGTTGGCCTATTGTTAGATGTATGGAAAAATGAATCACCCAAATCCCTGGTATGTATGACTTTGTGGTGCTACATATGGTATTGACAAGGGGATCTGTAAGTTGTAGGCCCATGTATGGGCTAATTAAAGTGGAATGCTTAGATAGTTCCATTGACTTGGAAGTGTGTGTTAGTGCTTCTCATGCACTTCTCTGCTGGAAACTACAGGCAATGCTCTGCTTATTTCTGCTGGTCAGATTTGAACAGTGGTCATAGTCCAATTGGTCTTCAATGAAACAGAACACCCATCTATCCTGGACAAGACTCATTGAAGTGGAGATTTATGTATGTACATATTATTAGGGCTGTAAGGTAATGAACGGAAAATTTGGCCAATATGCTGATTCCCTATATCTGTTCTTAAAAGATTACTGATACTGATGCCAGTTTTAATGCTGGTGTATAGTGAAGGTCATTTTTGCAGAGCTACAGTTCCATCAAAATGAGATTAACTTGAATTATGTGTATCTGATCTACATTGAGCTTTAAGTGAAAACCATTTGTTTGAAATTGTGTTTCTCTAAAATCACCAAGTCACTACAAATATGGCTAGTTTTCTCATGGTTTGGAGTCCTATCAGATTCTATTTTCCCAATGGAGTTCTATGGTTGGGAAGAGATTCACGTTATGGTTTGGGACATTTGTCTAAGTCAATGTAACAGTATTGCTTTAGCATTCCACATGCTTACAATTGGAAAAAGAACTAGAACACAAAGAACTATGTTAGGATAGGCCATATGCAGCTTGTATTACAGGCCAAGCCTTACCTAAATTCAGTGCAGGCCCATCATGCTGCTCAGGCAAAGGCAGTATCTAGGGGCCTAGGCTTAACATAAAAGCATCATTAGGCCTATGCACATTTATTGGGACTGAGCCTATTCAAGTTTTAAGCATATGTTGAAAAAATATCCAGAGTAAGGACTTCTCAAAGGATTAAATGGGAATGTAGCTGCCTCCTACATGGGCTCCTTCATCCAGTGCTATTCATAAGGATGAAGTTGTGCTCCTGACAGCGTCTTGCTTCTAGAACCTTGCTTTTTAAGTTTTTGAGTTCCATTCCTAAGAATAAATGGAGATCACATCTGCTACTGTCTACTTGTAGGAGTTCCCCAGTGTGCTACAGAATGCTGGGTAATTGAAGTAGGAGATGTGACACATGTTGCATGTACAAAAATAAAATAAATTTGAAAGAAAAAAGGAAAACTAGAGGACCTAAAGATTGGTTTTGCCAATTTCATGAAAAATGCCTGAATCTGCCAGAGTCTGGTATCCAGTCAGAAGATCAATCTGGCTCTACTGATAATACGTTGAAGTTTACTTTCCCAAATGTTGACATTTTGGATTTTTCAACTCACATTGTGCTTGTTTAGAATAAAATGCCTTTTTGCTTCTCAGTTTGTGACCTATCAGGACAGGCTTTAAAGCCTTGGCCTAGGCCTGCTGTGTGAAATTTTTGCAGAAGGATTTACCTGCTTGAACAACACCAATGGCAGAAAAGAAAGATTCCAAATTGTCAGCCCCAAAGGAGAGTTCAGGAGAGCAAGACTCAATCCATGGCATGGCTACTGCCTGTTTGGGCAAACCAGCAAAAGGAATTCTCAAGCCATCCACCAGCTTTGATACTAAACCAGAAAGGTTCCTGATAGTATTCTTTTATTAACAACTTTTGGTTTTAAAGAACAGTATGTTAATGTTTGTATATTTTTTATTTAATAGGAAACAAGCCAAATTTGATGAAATGAACATCCTGCAAACCTATCATCCAGCAGACAAGGATTATGGGCATATGAAAATAGATGAACCAAAAACACCATATCATTACTCAGCAGACGATGATAAGGAGCAAGCTGTTGATCCTTCTGCTTTGGCCCAGAAGTAAGTGTGATTTCTTGTCATCCTGTCAGGATGCCCATTATTTTGTACTTTATAGAACCAAATTTTTGCATCTCACAGACTTGCAGAGAGTAGGGAAGCAGAGCCAAAATTCATGTCGGAACCTACAATCCAAGAGACAGAAACAGAGGAAGAGAGGAGTGAGGGGATGATTGATGTAGATTGCACATAGCCCTATGAAATTCAGTGCTATGAACTTGAATGGTTTGATTTCTCTTATAGAGCGAAGAGAAGAGTTTGAGAAGAGAAGGAGGGCCCACTATGATGAGTATGCAAAGGTGAAGTTGGCTCGAGCATTGATAGCTCAAGAAGCTGATGAAGATGAAGATGAAGAAGAATCTGGTGAGCAAAACTTTTCTTCTGGGAAAAATCTTAGATCCAAGTTCCAACCCCCATCACTTTTTATGGCCTTTTCAAGACTGACAAAATCCTGTCTCCCTTGCCCCATCCCTTTCCTCTAATAATGATTGAGAACATGTTTAAACAGTCTGTAGGCCTCTAAAGGCTGGAAGTTACTCTTGTTGGTTTGAGCCTGACTGGGGTTCTCACTCCAGTAAGATTCTTTTAATCATTGTTTTGTTTAGATTTGTTTAATTACTGGAATATGATACCAGTTAGTACCATGATCCATTTATTAATATATGAAGGGTGTCCCAATAGGTATGGAAACAGTTTTAAAAATTTTTGTGTTGCTCTTTCTTTTACTGTCTTAGTAATTTAATTAGAGGAAATTAATTATAGATATTTAACTTTAAAATTTATAATTATTTATAATTATTAATTAATTTAATTATTATTGCAATTCCATCTGGCCACTTTTGTGACTCGGTTGATGTCCAAATGATGTTTGAGCTCTTGCACACCTTATGCAGAGTGTCAGGCATAACTGGATAGCTGTCACGATTCTGTTCTTAAGATCTGGGAGATTGTTGATGAAAAAGTCAACAGTCTCCTGAAGATTGAAGTGAGTAAACAGTTTCCTTGGTATTGCCCCACAAGAAAAAGTACAAGGGGTTGAGATCAGATTATCTTGGTGGCCATGGAATGGGCCCACCCCATCCAATCCACTTATCTGGGAATTTTTAATCCAGGGACTGCACAAATTCGCTAAAATGTGGAGGTGCCCCATCATTTTGAAAAATCAGATTTTTATTGGCACCTGATCTCACCCTCCTTGGACTTCCTCTTGTGGGGTTATGTCAAGGACTTTGTTTACTTTGGAAAAGTTGGCAATCTCCAAGATCTGAAGAATAGAATCCTCACAGCTATCCAGACAGTTATGCCTGACACTGCATAAGGTGTGGCTGGAGCTCAGACATCGTTTGGACACCTGCAGAGTCACAAATGGTGCCACGTGGAATTGTAATAACAGCAAAAAACATTTTTGCCTTTTTTTTTTCTTTTGCTCTTTAAATCATATAATTAGAGGCATTTAAGTCATATAATTAGAGTGAGATATTACTTTTAAAAATGTTTTTATTCCTTTTTGGATGCCCTGTGCATATATATTTATTTACTGATGAGCTCTTACATTTTTTTAACTGCAAAAAGACAATGACAAATTCTCTTTTATGCTGCTCTTATAGTTTGACATTCAATAAAGTGGAACGAGGACTTGCAAAAGGTCTCCTTCGAAGAAGTTATGCAAGGGACCAACCAGCATAGGCAGTGAGATGTCATGCAAGTCCTCATTGGGTCCTTGCAGAGTGACCTTTATTTTCTGTTCTCTCACAAAAAAAAATGCACTTCATAGCTTGGGATTGAAAATGCTGTGAATCTACTGCAAATCAGCAGCACAATTCAAAGAAGCAAATAGAGCATTGGATCCTGCCTTGTCCAAGAGTCCAAGTCCAGCCTGCCCAGGCCTGTGTGTGTCTTTTTTGCCTGAGAATTTGACAGAATGAGAATTATGTTTGTGGAGGGCCATTATGTAGACCCACTACAATGCTTTGGTGAATGAGAGTGTATGCTTGCAACCCAGAGTTTCCTGGTTCAAATAATATTCTTTAAAAGAGACAATGGCATCTCCAGTTTTGTTTTATTCACTTCTGCTATGTATGTGGGAAATGTCATAAGGATCCCACGAGGGAGACAATCAAGCAATATTGCACAATATGGAAGTAATGGAAACTTGCTGAATAAATAAAAACAGGTATACGTTAGTGCTCTCCTAATAATCAGATAATCCATTATTGGTGGACATCTTGCAATATTCAAGGTTTTTTGTGAATTCATCCCATTAGAATCACTAGGCATATTGGTATCCATGAGAGCAGTCCACCAAGAACTGTGAAAGACAGCTTGTAAATGTCAGGGGGTAAAGGCAGTTAAATTACCTAATTTGGTGATAGCAGGAACTTGAATTAAATATGGATTTCAAAGTAATGACTCACTTTCTTGATGCAACAACTCACCATTATATGCTCTGTTATGGCACATGTTTTGAACTGACTAAGATGGCCTTCTTGGTGCTGATGTTTTAGGACCAGCTGAGGAGAAGAAGTCTGGAGGGGAAGAGAATGCAAATCTAGATGATGAGGACGAGGGTATGGAGGACTGTGATAGTGACGACATGAAGGACGAAGAGAGTTGAACTGGTTCTGGTCTTATTCTCTCTTCACTCCTCTCATGCTCCATTCTTTCTTTCTCCACTGTGACAAAAGTGATCTACTTAGTGTGGAATCTGTGATTCATGAGAGAGTGGGAGTGCAAGTGCAGACCACTTGGCTTCTCTTTCTCATGAGAGCCCTTCCTCAACCGGAAGGGCTTTTAAAATGAGATCCTCCATGTCTCATCCTCCCTCAGTTGCCCTGTGATATGTGCCATTCTCATCTGGCATCTTTCAAGATCCAGCTTCCAATGCTCATCCATTCAGAAGAGCTGGGAGTTATGACTGCCTGAGATTAGGGTCAGCCAAATAGACGTAAATTATGCTCTATGCAAGTTGATTTTTAATCTAAGTGCAGGTATTATGATGAATTCATGTATTATGGTGACTGATAACAAGGCTTGGTTATTGCTGCCTGGCCATCAGGCTGCCTCTGATGATGATTAAGGAGCCTGAAACTTTCATGTTCATGAGTCTCACTGTGTGTCATTGTCTATGGTTAGGCTACAGGCAGTCACCAACTCTCTCAACTGGTGACTAGGTTGACTCACTGCTCCATGCATGAGCAACTGTATCATTTGGCCATCCATTGTGTCTTGTAACATCTCCATTCAATGGTTTGAACTGCCAGCTCTGAATGTAAAAACAAGTACAACATAAACCAAGTCTGAGCTAGCTTAACTTCAATCTCAATGCTGGTCAGTGCTGATATGACTTGATAAATGAAATTACAAGAAGTAGTATAGAAATTCCTGTACTGTTATGTGTCTGCAGGTGCTCATAGGGCATTTTCTCGCATAAAAAGGAGCTTTTATTGTGTAGTAGTAAGAGGAGAGGAGTGCTTGAATTAATCTGTTAACCATGTGCCAGCATGTCTGGTGTAATATTACACCCTATTATGCCACTAATTATTTTTACCATTAGGATCAACTACTCTTGACCAAATAGTTACTCTAAATAGCAGGCAAGATCAAGTGCACTACTGGAGAAGTTAACATTTTTCTAAGAACATGCAGAAAAGTTGAGAACTGTCTTAAGTATACATGAGCAACTGGGACCAGTGTCAAGTACAGATAAGGATTTAATGGTATTCATGGAACAATGCTGTCCATCAATGTTTTTAAATACCTTTCCTTGTTGATCGTATCGTCGTATCATTCATATCCATTAATGCTTCCAGATTTTCTTTTAATGCATCCAATTTGGAATTATTTCTGGTTCAGTGAAACAGAAGAGCCTTGATGTTGGGGAAAATTGTCGACAAGAAAGAGGCTTGACCAAAGACTGCATGAATGTCAAAGAAAAAGACTCATTTTCTCTTTGTTTATGATATTGCCTAGATTAGAGGATAAGAGGCAAGTGGAGGCTTTTGAACCTAGTCCCTAGGCTTTAGAAGACCTGGTGACCCTGTGGCACAGGTGTGTGAGTCTTGCTTCCATGCAAGATGTTCACAGTTATCTTGAATGATGCCAACATTAGGTGAATGAAAATACAGAATGATTGTGAATATTCATCTGAGTAGCTACTTTTTTGTTTTTGGTCATGCAAGAAAACATTGACCGGGGACCGTACAGAATACCTGGGCATGGCATCATTTTACAGCAGCTGCAGGTTCACCTGGTGGAATGTCGCTGAGTGGCAAATTTTCACAAATAGATTGTGCTGTGACTATCCTAGATATTGGCCTGTGACTGCTTCCTCACTTTTCCAAAGCAGACTGGATAATGTGTCTTATTGACACCCTCAGATTCTGAATCAATCTTTTTATCCAGGTTGCATTTTTTGTTTACACTATCATGAGATGCTAATTTGGATTGATGTGTACATTGAGTTGGCATGTTTTGGGCATTGAGAGCAATATAAAGCTGGCAACAAATGGTGTCTTTTATTTTCATTCCTCTTGTGGGTCTGTTTGAAAATCTAGTCATGCAATTGTCTTCTTCTTCTGTCTTCTGTGTCTTCAGACTGATGGCACACATTCATTGACCCCCTTCGTGTTGTCCTCCCCTATTTCTTTCCATTCCCTTCCTTCACCTCTTGCACCTTTAACCCTTTGAGGAGTGGGTCTGAATACATGGAGGGCAGGAGGATGTCAGCCTGTGTATATATGGGCATACTTGTCAAAGGGTTAAGTAGATCATTCTTTGATGCTGAAAACTGGAAAATACTCCTTACAATAGAAAGTAGAATAGGGATGCAACATGCTAAAATAAATGGGATACTTTTGCCCTGCTATGTTGAAGTAGTGTTAACACTCATGAAGGGTTAGAATTGGAGGCAAGACCTTTGCTTTGCCCAGTTTCAAACTTCTGGAAAGCCCTTGTTACTGAGGATTAATTGAATTCTCATAATCCATTCTTTGATCCAAATTTCATCCCCAAGGTTTAATTATTGCTTTCCATGCTGTTTCATTGTTGTCCTGTTATAGGTCATAACTGAAGCCTTTGGATGACAGGACAATCACACCCTCAGATCCTGAAACAGATATTGTTTTTGGGTCAGGAGGATTCTCCCGAGGCTGCAGTGGTCATAATTCTGTAGAGTGCATGGGGGGGGGGAGGATAATCCATAGTATCAGNGCATGAATGTCAAAGAAAAAGACTCATTTTCTCTTTGTTTATGATATTGCCTAGATTAGAGGATAAGAGGCAAGTGGAGGCTTTTGAACCTAGTCCCTAGGCTTTAGAAGACCTGGTGACCCTGTGGCACAGGTGTGTGAGTCTTGCTTCCATGCAAGATGTTCACAGTTATCTTGAATGATGCCAACATTAGGTGAATGAAAATACAGAATGATTGTGAATATTCATCTGAGTAGCTACTTTTTTGTTTTTGGTCATGCAAGAAAACATTGACCGGGGACCGTACAGAATACCTGGGCATGGCATCATTTTACAGCAGCTGCAGGTTCACCTGGTGGAATGTCGCTGAGTGGCAAATTTTCACAAATAGATTGTGCTGTGACTATCCTAGATATTGGCCTGTGACTGCTTCCTCACTTTTCCAAAGCAGACTGGATAATGTGTCTTATTGACACCCTCAGATTCTGAATCAATCTTTTTATCCAGGTTGCATTTTTTGTTTACACTATCATGAGATGCTAATTTGGATTGATGTGTACATTGAGTTGGCATGTTTTGGGCATTGAGAGCAATATAAAGCTGGCAACAAATGGTGTCTTTTATTTTCATTCCTCTTGTGGGTCTGTTTGAAAATCTAGTCATGCAATTGTCTTCTTCTTCTGTCTTCTGTGTCTTCAGACTGATGGCACACATTCATTGACCCCCTTCGTGTTGTCCTCCCCTATTTCTTTCCATTCCCTTCCTTCACCTCTTGCACCTTTAACCCTTTGAGGAGTGGGTCTGAATACATGGAGGGCAGGAGGATGTCAGCCTGTATATATACGGGCATACTTGTCAAAGGGTTAAGTAGATCATTCTTTGATGCTGAAAACTGGAAAATACTCCTTACAATAGGAAGTAGAATAGGGATGCAACATGCTAAAATAAATTTAATACTTTTGCCCTGCTATGTTGAAGTAGTGTTAACACTCATGAAGGGTTAGAATTGGAGGCAAGACCTCTGCTTTGCCCAGTTTCAAACTTCTGGAAAGCCCTTGTTACTGAGGATTAATTAAATTCCCATAATCCATTCCTTGATCCAAATTTCATCCCCAAGGTTTAATTATTGCTTTCCATGCTGTTTCATTGTTGTCCTGTTATAGGTCATAACTGAAGCCTTTGGATGACAGGACAATCACACCCTCAGATCCTGAAACAGATATTGTTTTTGGGTCAGGAGGATTCTCCCGAGGCTGCAGTGGTCATAATTCTGTAGAGTGCATGGGGGGGGGGAGGATAATCCATAGTATCAGCTATGCTTTTGGCCAAATCAGAAGCTGGGCTTCACCACTCCAGAGATATTCACCAAGCATTAGAGAACAGGAAGAAGGGAAGTGCATACTTGCTAATTATCTAATATCAATGTACTGAATTTTATCACTACTATTAGCTTCATGGCTGCTATCTAGTTGAAACACAAGAAAACCAGTGGAGGCATGCACACATTTTCATAGACCATGACTGGCTACAAGTCAAAAATGATACAGATGATTTTCCAAGCAGTGTATATAACATCTCAAAAGGTCCTGTTGCTGCCAACTGTAGGCTGATTTATAACCAATTACAAAATTTGCATCTAGGAAGGCCAGGGAAGCACCAAATAATTTGATTTTGCATATAGAGCCTGGCCTCCTGAGACTTGAAGAGAAACAAGTTACTTATATTGTACTTCCATAACATGACTTAACACCTTTTGTCTGAAGCTCAGGATTTCCAACTCATCATATCTTGGTTGCTGGTAAATTTTTAGGGGGAGTAATAAGAGGCTGGTGAACTGCTCTAGGGTGATGTGTCTTCTTCCAACTTTCTTTAATGTCATGCTCACTTGAGTAAAGGAACTGAAAATATTTATTTTATGCATATTTCACACAAATTCCTTCATGAGGTAATAGTCCTGAAGCAGTGGGTGTGCCTAGGTATTGCCCACTCAATGGCAACTAAGGCAACCAACTAGTTTTATAATTACAGCTGGTGTCATGAAAATATATTGAAATTAGAGGTTGATTTGTATATTGGGTGAGACTGTAAATGATTTTATTCAGAAAGAATCCAGAAAATATTGTGACTAAAATGGCTAATGCCCAAAAATTCCTATACCTTTCTATGAAGGTTTTTATCATAGAAGAACCCTGACTGATTGATTATTTCTTATCATGGTATCTAATAAGATTCCATTGTTATAAGCAAATACAGGATGGATTCTGAGGTATGCGACAGGAAAATAAGACATTGCACAAGTGCTTTCAGCAGAGGGAATTTTGGATGCAATACCTGTATATTCAGCTTTCAATGAAGACCATTGCTTGAGGCAAGTAACATGAATTCTTTGATGAGCTTTTAGTGCAGCCTGAACCCCCAACATTTTTCACTCTCTAGTAGGTAGGCATTTAGTGTACGGTGTGTCAGAAATAGTGTCACCAAGGTGAGTGAAGGTATTTTCTTAGCTAAGAAACAGACATAAGTAAAAACTAATCAAACTCACAGGTACTTGAAAATAACACTGTCCATAACCATTGTTAACATGACCCCATCAATAACCAAGATTTATTCTCTGATATTCATTACAAACAATCTCTAATTCTTGTCTGAGAATATTTCACCTTAACATGACATTCTGGTTATATACTAAGCAGCCTCCAATTGTAATTGATACAAGCAGAGAGTACAGTGTGGCATGTAGCCCCATCCTCTGGAAAAAATATATTGTAATCATTTGTATGATTTTGCTATAGTTCCTGCTAGGTAGATCCCATGTTGACCTTGACTATTACCATATTAAAAGTCATCATTCACTGTAACACTTGAACACTACTCTTAAAAAATTTATGAACACCAAAGTAAAAATATTTTAAAATCTAAATACTTGATATCTCCTTGAATTCATCTTCCCATAATTTCATCTTGGTCTGTTCATTGAGCAAACAAATACATTAATTTTCCTTGGTAGAACTGTTTTTGACTCATTCAGCATAATGGAGCCTTTTACATTCCAATAGAGGCAAAATGTCACTGCATACTGCATAATCTCCCATCCTGTGTCCTTCACTCCTTCCTATGGTGTAGGGAATTACATTTGAGTACCATAAAAGCCAGAAATTCTTTGTCAAGAAATGAATCCTTAAATCNAAGAAAACCAGTGGAGGCATGCACACTTTTTCATAGACCATGACTGGCTACAAGTCAAAAATGATACAGATGATTTTCCAAGCAGTGTATATAACATCTCAAAAGGTCCTGTTGCTGCCAACTGTAGGCTGATTTATAACCAATTACAAAATTTGCATCTAGGAAGGCCAGGGAAGCACCAAATAATTTGATTTTGCATATAGAGCCTGGCCTCCTGAGACTTGAAGAGAAACAAGTTACTTATATTGTACTTCCATAACATGACTTAACACCTTTTGTCTGAGGCTCAGGATTTCCAACTCATCATATCTTGGTTGCTGGTAAATTTTTAGGGGGAGTAATAAGAGGCTGGTGAACTGCTCTAGGGTGATGTGTCTTCTTCCAACTTTCTTTAACACGTTGGCGACAATGCGTCCTGATGCCAGGATGCAGATTTCATTTTCAATGAATACCCTCTGGAACTGTTGAGAACGTTCCAGAAGATTATGATTTCGTAATTACTGATAAAAATTCCAAAAAATTCAACATTTTAAAAAAACTCGGCAAAAAAAAAAGTTTTCTGGGACCATGCGTCCTGATGGCAGGACGCATTTTTTGACAAAAATAAATGCGTGTGGTCCCACGCGGCGGACAAGCAAAAATAGGCTGGTCGTCAACATGTTAATGTCATGCTCACTTGAGTAAAGGAACTGAAAATATTTATTTTATTTTATGCATATTTCACACATAAATTCCTTCATGAGGTAATAGTCCTGAAGCAGTGGGTGTGTCCACTCAATGGCAACTAAGGCAACCAACTAGTTTTATAATTACAGCTGGTGTCATGAAAATATATTGAAATTAGAGGTTGATTTGTATATTGGGTGAGACTGTAAATGATTTTATTCAGAAAGAATCCAGAAAAATGGGCAGAAAATATTGTGACTAAAATGGCTAATGCCCAAAAATTCCTATACCTTTCTATGAAGGTTTTTATCATAGAAGAACTCTTGACTGATTGATTATTTCCTATCATGGTATCTAATAAGATTCCATTGTTATAAGCAAATACAGGATGGATTCTGAGGCATGTGAGAGGAAAATAAGACATTGCACAAGTGCTTTCAGCAGAGGGAATTTTGGATGCAAT